AATACAGCACCCCTTTATGTTCAAAACACTAGAAAAACTAGATATAGTAGGAACATATCTCAACATTGTAAAAGCTATCTATCTTAAACCCAAGGCTAGAATCATTCTAAATGGAGAAAAATTGAAAGCATTCCCTTTAAGAACTGGAACAAGACAAGGATGCCCTCCTTTATTTATTTAACATCATCCTTGAAACTCTAGCCAAAGCAATTAGATGAAAGAAATTGAAGGGATAGAAATAGGAAAAAAAAAGAACTCAAACTATCATATTTGCCAATGACATGATTCTATATTTAGAGGATCCAAAAAATCCACCAAAAACATTCTAGAACTAATAATGAATTCAGCAAAGCGACAGGATAGAAAATCAACACCCATAAATCAAATGTGTTCCTGTACATCAGTGAAGAATCCACTGAAAGAGAAATTAGGAAAACTGTTCCATTCACAATAACCTTAAAAAATATTTGGGAATCAATCTAACAAAAGAATTGAAAGACCTCTACAATGGAAACTATAGAACAGTAAAGAAAGAAATTCTAAAGAAGACTTTAGAAGATGGAAAGATCTCCCATGTTCTTGGATAGGCAGAATTAACATTGTAAAAAAATGGCTATACTACCAAAAGTGTTATACAAATTTAATACAGTTTCTAATAAAATTCCATTGACATTTTTCATAGAATTATAAAAAAGCAATTATGAATTGACTTGGAAAAATAAGAGACCCATTATCATCCAAGCAATCCTTAGCAAGAAAAATGAAGCAGGAAGCATCACAATTCTAGATCTTAAACTATACTACAGGGCTGGAGTTGTGTTTCAGTGGCAGAGCACTTGCCTAGCACATGTGAGGCACTGGGTTCGATCCTCTACACCACATAAAAATAAATAAAGTAAAGGCATTGTGTCTATTTACAACTAAAAATTATTTTTAAAAAACACAAAACTATGTCACAGAGCCATAGTAAAAGAACAACATAGTATTGGCACCAAAACAGACACGTAGACCAGGTACAAAATAGAAGACACATAAATAGAGTTACCTCATATTAGACAAAGTCACCAAAAACATACATTGGAGAAAAGATAGCCTCTTCAACAAATGGTGCCGGGAAAACTGGAAATTCATATGTAGCAAAATTAAACCCCTCTCTCTCACCTTGCACAAAAATCAAAGTGGATCAAAGTTAGGCACTAGTACAGAGATCCTGCACCTAACAGAAGAAAAAGTAAGCTCAAATCTCCACTGTGTTGGCTTAGAAACTGACTTCCTTAACAAGACTCCAAAAGTGCAAGAAATAAAATCTAGAATCAATAAATGGGATGGATTTAAGCTAAAAAGCTTCTTCTCAGCAAAATAAAGAATCAATAATGTGAAGAGAGAGCCTGCAGAGTGGGAGAAGATCATTACTACATGCACATCAGATAGAGCATTAATCTCCAGGATATGTAAAGAACTCAAAAAAACTTAACACCAAAAAAAAACCCAATCAATAAATGGGCTAAGGAACTGAACAGACTCTTCTCAAAAGAAGATATACAAGGGATTAACAAATATATAAAGAAAATGTTCAACATCTCTAGCAATTAGAAAAATGCAAATCAAAATGACACTAAGATTCCATCTCATTCCAGTCAGAATGGCAATCATCAAGAATACAAGCAACAATAAATGTTGGTGAGGATGTGGGGGAAAAGGTACACTCATACATTCATTGCTGGTGGGACTGAAAATTGGAATAACAGCTATGGAAAGCAGTATGGAGATTCCTCAGAAAACTTGTAATGGAACTATCATTTGACCCAGTCATCCCACTCCTGGATTATCCCCAAAGGACTTAAAATCAGCATACTACAATGACACAGTCACATCAGTGTTATAGAGCTCAATTCACAAATAGCTATGCTACGGAACCAACCTAGGTGCCCTTCAACAGATGAATGGTGTTAGGGTCTGTAAACAAGTCAAGATGGCGCCTGGCATTTTGCCAGAGGGAGTGGTTTGTGAAGTAACGCCAGCAAGCCATTAAGTGTGGAGATTCCTTATTGGTTGACTGCTGTATCTAGTTTATGTTAATTAAGATAAGCTGTGTGTAATGTATATATACCCCTCCTGTCCTACAGTAAACGGCTCCCACTCGTGCTGTATCAATGTACACAAGTTGTTCGTCACCCCCCCCCCCCCAGTTATTTTGCTGCAGCCGGACTGCGGCAGAATGGATAAAGAAACTATGGTATATATACACAATGGAATATTACTCAGCTTTAAAGAAGAATGAAATTATGGCATTTGCTGGTAAATGGATGGAACTGGAGACTATTATGCTAAGCTAAATAAGCCAATCTCAAAGAATCAAAGGCCCAATGTTTTCTCTGAAATGCAGATGCTAGTTCACAGTAAAGAAGGGGAGAATAGAGATATTTTGGACTAAACAGAGGGGAGTGAAGATAGGGGAAGGGGCATGGGCATAGGAATGATAATAGAATGAATTGGACATAATTACCCTATGTGCATATATGATTACATTACCTGTGTAACTCTACATTGTATACAACCAGATGAATGAGAAGTTATACTCCATTTATGTATGATGTGTCAAAATGTATTCTGCTGCTATGTATAACTAATTAGAACAATAAAAAATATTTTAAAAATGGAAAAATATATTCAAAACAGTAATACTCATGGTAACCAAATGGTAGAGACACCCAAATGTTCACTAATGGATTAATAAATTTTAAAAAATCATGGTTTATACATAAGTGGATACAGTGGAATATTTTCCAGCCCTAAAAAAAGAAGTGAAAAATACATGCTGCAACATGGAGAAAACTCAAAAACCTCACTAAGTGAAAGAAATGAAGCAAAAGATTATAAATTTTATGATTCCATTCACATGAAATATTTAGAAAAGATAATTCTATAAAGACATAAAGCATATCGGTGGTTGTCAGGAGCTATGAGTAGGGAGGATTGGGAGCTAATTGTTTAATAGGTACAGAGATTTCATTTGGGTAATGAAAATGTTTTGAAACTATGTAGAAGTGTTAGTGGTGTGACATTGTGAATGTCTTAAATGCCACTGAATTTTAAGTGGATTACATTTGTTGTTTGAGTCCTTACCTACCATAGTCCTCAACATGCCTTTACCCAAATTTGCCAGTCTACTCTCAGCTGCCCAATGAGGTGGGGACAACTGATAGAAACCTAAGGATTAGAAGCAGGTCATTGGTCCAAAAGCCATGCATATAGCCTCTTGGGTTCTCTCTGTCCTGCCTCTTCCCTTGGCTTCAGTTTAGCATTGGAACTTACTATATTGCTGAAAATCTTCCCATAGTCTCCTGCGGAGCATGAGTTTTGTCCTGTCCTTTTGAATCTCATTTAAAAATTCCTTGTTCATTCTTTTGGTAGCATACACACTATTTAGCTGCTGATTGCTTCTACTCCAAGTAACCACTAGTATGCTTTCTGATTCTATAGTTTGCCCTATTCTGGATATTTCATGTGCAAAGTCAGGCAGCATGTGGTCTTTTTTGACTGAGTTCTTTCCTTTGTATAATAATTTAATATATTATATGTTAAATGTATATTAAACATATATATAAATATAATATATGTGTTGGGATTCTTTTTGGTACTAGGGATTAAATGCAGAGGTGCTTTACCACTGAGCCACATCCCCAGCCCTTTTTGAGATAGGGTCTTTGCTAAGTTGCTGAGACTGGCTTTGAACTTGCAATCCTCCTGCCTCAGTCTTCCAATTTGCTGGGATTACAGGCATGACCACTATGCCCAGCAGAAAAGATTTTTAAAAAGAGAAAAGTTGAGGACTTGTTTTCCCATTTTAAGGAAATATGAATAGGTGGGGTATAGACTAAGCATCTGAATTTTTCCTACAGACTACTACCTGGTGGCCTCGTTGGCAGAAACAAAGGTTTGAATGTTGAATTATAGGAGCTTAAACTTTGATGCTTTTGTGTACCATTACCATTTACTCTAAATTTGAGCATTTGTCATTAAATATAAATGTACTGAAATTCTTTGCTAGAAAAATATAAGTTCTAAATTTTATAAAAGATTATTAGCTTTACTGATTTTTATTAAACATAATTTTTGTTATTTATACATTTCAAATAAACATTTTTAAAATTAGTCCATAATCTCATTACCCCAATTTAACAACTATTAACATTTTGGAGCCTTTGCTTTTAAGACATACTTTCTGTGAAAAGATACACACACACACACACACACACACACAAAATACCAAAAATGCACATTATATTTAACAAATTAGGATCATCTGCCTTGCTCTTTTTTAGTCTCCCCCCCGCCACTATTGTTTATAGCCATTTTTCCACATCAAATTCAGTTATATCATGTGTTTATTTTTATTGGTTCTTTTTAGTTATACATAATAGGATTAATTTCAACATAATTATAAAAGCACAGGATATAATATTCTAATTCAGTAATTCCTCTTTCGCCTTCCCCCTTTGTCCTTCCCTCGGTTCTACTGATCTTTCTGCTACTTACCTATAGTTTTTTTTTTAATTAATGTGTTGTTGATGTACACAATGGTGAGATCCATTATGGTATATTCATATATGTACATAGGAAATTTAGGTCAGATTCATTCCACTGTCTATCCCATCCCTCCTCTCTTCCTTTATTTCCCTTTGTCTACTACACTGATCTTTCTTCTTCTTCTTCTTCTTCTTCTTCTCCTTCTCCTTCTCCTTCTCCTTCTCCTTCTCCTTCTTTCTTCCCCCTACCTTTATTTTGGATTAGCTTCCACTTATCAGAGAAAACATTCAACTTTGACTTTTGAGGACTGATTTTGCTTGGCGTATCATGCATTTTAAATAGCTAGTAGATTTATAATTTATTATAGGAAATAAGTCAACGTATGAGACTTTCATTTTAGGAACATTTGTTTTCAGAATTGCTTGTTTATCTGTTTTCTCTTCCTTTCATCACAAAATATCTTTACTTAGCAAAACCGTGTGGTTGGAGCAATGCAGCTCTATTCTGTGGAGAGGAAGGTTTCACAACCCATAGAAGGCCATGCTGCTGCCTTTGCAGAGTTCAAGATAGAAGGGAATACCAAGCCTGTCACTCTCTTCTGCTTTGCTGTACGCAGTTCCACAGGAGGCAAGGTAAGATCCACTCTACTTTGTCTTCCTCCTAGAAAAGTGTCAGAAATCAGGGTCATGAGTCTGTATGAGTACAATTGAAAGTGGGACATGGCCTGCAGGTCCCTGTATAAATGAGGACTCATAGCAGGGTTTAGAGCCACTCATGCAACATTTATTTCAGTAGTGTGGCAGCAACCTTGGCATAAAATTAGTAACCTCAAGTTAGCTTAGCCCCTTTCCCTTAGAATTCCTCTTAGATTGTACTGAGATGGGCCTTAAAGGGATGTGAGGCACAGTTTCTGCTCTCATGCATCAGTCTCGTGGAAGAGATAGCTGTGAAACCACTGCAGTGCCGTCTTTGCCATAAGGTATGCCTTTCTCACACCTAAGGTGTGATTCCATCCTGGTGGTTGTGGTAGGGATGGGGATGAGGTCCCAAGGAAGCTGTAGAGAGGCAAAATTGTATCCAGGAGCCAGCTGACTTTTTTTTTTTTTAGTTGCAATACTTTTATTTATTTATTTGTTTGTTTGTTTATTTATTTATTTTTATGTGGTTCTGAGGATCGAACCCAGGACCTTGCACATGCTAGGCGAATGCTCTACCGCTGAGCCACAACCCCAGCCCACCAGTTGACTTTTATATAGCAAAGGGTATATCCAGACTCTGTTTGGAAAGGCTGTCATGGGAAGTGGTGTGGAGGTGTCCTATACCTTATGACATTAGAGAGACCTGGGATTCTGCTGGGGTTTCATGAGACAGTGGGGCACTGCTTCTAAATAAAGTTCTTATTCCTGGAAGACTCTTGTCAAAAAATACTTCCTGAAATCATTGTTTTGGATTGTTCATTAGCTCTGAAAGGATTCTCCAAAGATGAGTTATAAATCATTATATGGCTTCCTAAACTTGTTCATCTGAAACACACTTCTTTAGATATTTTGGTTATTGTGGCATAGCATACTTCATGCTTCCTCAATTGAGAACTAGTAGAAAAGTAGGAATCAGGTAAAATGTCAGCCTCATTGCTAAAAGAGCTAATTAAATACACCAGCTTTAGCTATATAGTACAAGAGCTTGCTACCATATCACCTCAGAATTAGGCTTACCATCTTTTCACAGATGGAACTGGGGAGGGACAGGCCTCCATTTTAGTAGCAGAATCTGCGCCACTGAGCTCCCTAGAGATGAGAGCTATCCAGAATGAGTTCACTTAGAAGCCTGGTGTGCTCAGCAATCTCCTGTACTCAGATTTCAGATGGGCACTCTCCTGGGGGAGCAAGCAAGGTTGGAGAGGGGATAGTAGTAACCTGCTGGGGCAGGCCCTTCCACAGTGACCTGAGTCACACTTAGCTCCCGCATCCCCCATCACACACAGTAAATCTCCCAAGAATTGTAGAAAATTGTGGCTGTTTCTCTCCCCTGCTACAGGGAGGGTGTAGTATCCTTCTCAACCTGGGTTCCTTGCCCTGAATTCTTTCTACGTTCAACTGTCTTTACAAGAGTAACTCAGTAGTCTCCACATGTGGATTGGAGTTTGCCTGGATATCAGTTACTGGATATTAGTTACTGCTAACCTTCCCAGAGGCAAATGTCACTTGTTCAAAATCACACCCTTCTCCCTCTGCTTTCCCAAAACTTTGACTTTTGTTCTCATACCTCCACTTCTGTTGGTAATGTCATTGTCCTTCTTAACTCCCAAGCAAGAAACCATAGCTCTCTAATTTTGTTACCACCTGACCTTTAGCAAGTCTTATATCTGTCTAAGCTTTTAGTGACTATGCTCTTATCACCTTACATTTGGCTCAGGAAATGACCATTTATTAGGTCCTCAGACCTGCTCCACCCTTTTCACTAATAGGTCTTGCCACAGAGTTTTTCTAAACTACCTTTTATCTTAAATTTCCTGTGTGCAAGAAGTTCATCTGACCTATATTAGCCTTTGCAGGCCCACATATCAGCCAGCCCATCTTTCAGTGTATCCCCTCTCCACTCAAGCCTTTTTGGGATTTCCCACCTTTCCTTCTTTCCTTTCCTTCTGCTGGCCAAATTGAGACTATCCCCCTCTGTGAAACCCACCCTCTAACCCTTGTTGTGTCATGTCTCCAATCCACTCTACTCGTGATTTTTTTTTTTCTGGATTGTTTTAGCTTTGGCACTTTTTCTTTTTTTAATATTTATTTTTTAGTTGTAAAACAATACCTTTGTTTTATTTATTTGTTTATTTTTTATGTGCTGCTGAGGATCGAACCTAGGGCCTCGCACACACTAGGTGAGGGCTCCACCGCTGAGCCACATCCCCAGCCCAGCACCTCTTCTTCAAACAAAATTTATGGTGAAGGCACCTATGTAAGTCAGAATTTAGAACCTTTCTAATACAAGGAGGAAGGAACTTCCTCATCCACAGACATTCCTCTAAGTTCTACAATAATTCTTACATCTCCCTGAATAACCTTGAAAAAACTCAGGCCTGTACCACAGTGGGTTGGATTGTCTCATGGGTTTGACATTCAGAGATGAGATATCATTGACTAACCGGTTCACATTAGCCTGGGCTATATCTGAATGATTGGAGAGAACTGAAATAGGAAGCAGATACTAGTTGGAATGTTTGCTTCATGTCAGCCCCAAAGCCCAGGGAAGAAAGAAGTGATTCAACTAACCAGGAACTAAATATTCTCAGGTTTTCTGGCAGTAGTTCTTTCTGTTGGTGAGAATCAGGTTGGTAATTAATCACAAGTACCTCAATAAAGAAATTGTCTTCTATTGTTCGAATGTATGTTTTAGCTTTAGTCATACAGAGCTTGTACCTCTGCTCACCACTGTGCCTTGTTTAGTATCCGTCTGCCACCAAGAGCATTTACTTGTATTTACTAACATCTTTCTTCTAGTTGCACATAATTGAAGTTGGACAGCCTGCAGCAGGAAACCAGCCTTTTGTAAAGAAAGCTGTGGATGTGTTTTTCCCTCCAGAGGCACAGACTGATTTTCCAGTGGCTATGCAGGTATGGATTGCTGCTCTTTAAATATCTCACATTCTAAATTGTCAATTTTGGCACTTTCTAAAGTTATAGGAAACTGTCATCTGCAGTTTGTTTCATTATCCTTCTCACCCCAGATCTCTGATTCATTCAAACCCATTTAGAAACCTGCAATTTTGTGCATGATTTTAGGAACAGTCCTGCTCATAGAAGTCCTTCATCAGAGCAGGTCAGGACAGCATGAGACTTTTCTAGCTTTTGTACCAAACTTTTAGGCCTTTCTCCTTTTATTGTAAAAAATTAGGTAGTTACTGTGGTACAAGACTGTATAAAGAAGAAAACAGTCCTCTGTAGATAAACCAATGTGATATAAAATACACCAAAGATCATATTACTTATTATGTAAATAACTTAGATATAAACCTTTTCTGAACAAAACTGGGATCTCAGTATATATGTAAGATGGACATGTCTTAGCTATTTCCTTTTATTCTGTTCTCAGATATCTGCTCATATTTATAATCATTTCTATAAGACAGATTTCTAGTAATAGTTTCCTGATAGAAGAATGTAATTGTTCCCCCAAAGTGAAATCAGCTTTTTTCCTGTCTTATAGAAAGATATGTTTTATATCAATTTCCATCAATATCAAATGTAACAGCAGGATTAAATATCAACTAAAATCCTACCATGACTGATAATTGTAACCACCATTTAAGGTAACTTTATATGCATACATTCATGCAGATATATTCAAATAGACTCCTACAAAAATGGTTTTGTACTAGCCTTGCTGCTTTATGACTCTCTCTCTCACTATATTAAAGATAGCTCTATGTCAGTAAAATCACATTTATTTTATTGTTTGGGTAACCTGTTCTATGCATGTGCTGTGCCTCTCTCAAATTGTCCCACTGATGTGTATTTAGATTTACTGTAATCACTTCAAGGAACTTTGCAGTTCATACATCTTTATTCATTAGTCAGAAAGTCTGAGGATAGATTCTTAGACATAAAAGTATGTGTCAGAGGCATATACATGTCAGCAGCTCTCATGACCATGCTGATTATTTCTTCTGCCAGTGCTGCCCTTTACAGCTGGACAGTGTCCAGTGATTTTCTTATTCTTCCCTTGGTTTCTGTCCAGGCAGAATGGGTTTCTCATATGCGTCTTATTAATTGAATTTTCATGATCTTTGCATTTTTTTGTCAGTCTTTTATTAAAGTGTCTGGTGGGTTTCAGGTATTTTTCCGAGTCATAACAAAAGGTGGTAACATATTCCATCTTGTATACATTTTGCATTTTTGTGTGGCTTTACTATCATATTTTGAAAATAATTCTGTACCCTAAGATGATCACAGTAGCCACACATATTTTTTCTATTACTCTTTTAATTGTATTATTTTTATTTAAAATATTTATTTTTTTAGTTATAGGGGGCATAACATCTTTATATTTTATTTTTATGTGGTACTGAGGATCAAACCCAGTTCCTCATGCATGCTAGGTGAGTGCTCTACCACTGAGCCCCAGCCCCAGCCCTTAATTGTATTATTTTTAATTTAAAGTCTTTGGCTCATCTGAGATTTACTTTGACCTAAAGAGTAAGGTAATGATCCAAGTTCTTTACTCTCTCCTCCATCCCCAAATAGCTAACTGGTTATATCAATATCATGTGTTGATTAAAGTATTTGTAGTCCACTACTAGGCTACTTACCATTCTCACACATAATAGATTCTATTTCAAGGTTCTCAATCAAGTTACCTTTTTCTCTGACTTCCTATGCTAGTATCATACTTTTAAATAACTTTAAATTTTTAAATAAGCTTCAGGTTTTCCTGTGTGTTATTGATGGCATTTGGCAAAGGTTAGTAAGTGGAAATGGAAGGTAGATTGGAAAGTGAAGTCAGTATTAGGGGTCTTTATCCAGAACTTTCCCCTTCTTTTATGAACTTGAAGCTTAATGGGGTTTGGAAAGAAACTGGGGAAAGAATGTCTCTACCTGAAAGATATATGGAATAGGCTGATTTTCTTTGACCTTTGTTTGAGAGTGATTGGGCAAAATAAACCTAGGTCTCATGGAGAAGAACTTGAAATCCATTTCTCAGGGTTTCATTACTCCCATTGATGATCTCAGCCATGGAATCTCTGGGATCCCATTTATCATTCATGAGCTCTTTTTTTCTTATGTGGCTTTGTCTTTTTCCAACCCATCATACTCTGCCTTCTTACAGATTGGAGCTAAACATGGAGTTATATATTTGATCACAAAGTACGGCTACCTACATATGTATGATTTAGAGTCTGCTGTGTGCATCTACATGAACCGTATTAGTGCTGACACAATCTTTGTAACTGTTCCACATGAACTAACCTCTGGGATTATTGGTGTCAACAAAAAAGGACAGGTATGTAACTCTGAGGTTTAATTTCCCACCTTTTCCCTTCAGTAAGGACTAGAGCTTTGTGATCAGGTGTAGTTAACTCCTGTTATTAAACTTATACCCATGTCTGTCTTCTCCTTCACATCATCATTTCCTCTCTTCAGCCAGCACCATTCCTAACACAACATTGATTCTGAGTGAAGCATCTGCCAGTGGAGCAGCAGTTCTAATATGCACCATGTACATCTTTATATCAAGCACCTGTTAGTTGGAGAAGGTTGAAAAAGCAGATACTATGCTGTTGAAGTTAACCTTTCTGAACCAAAGTTAAAAAGAGAAGAAAATCAATTTTTAAAAAATTACCTTAAAAGAAAAATTGTAAGGAGTACTCATCAGTGAAAATCAAGCAAGTCATTTTGGCATAGATCTGAACACATCATTATGATCAGTGCCTGTATGACTTTACATTTTCATAGTATTTTGAACAGCTGCATAGAATCCCATGCTATCACTTTGCTGGGTGATTCTACTTTGTTACCATTAAGAACCTGGCTCCTTTGCATCTTTTTATGTTAGGACCAAGATCACAAGCATGCTCAACATGAGTCTGGGAATTTGGCAAACATTGCAGTGTCATGAGGGAATGTGACAGACTGTGTATATGGGGCATTCCCCCAGGGGAACTGGTCTCACTTGATGGGTTCTTACAGGTGCTGTCAGTTTGTGTTGAGGAAGAAAACATTGTGAATTATGCAACCAATGTGCTTCAGAATCCAGACCTGGGTCTGCGTTTGGCTGTTCGTAGTAACCTGCCAGGGGCAGAGGAGTTATTTGTGAGAAAATTCAGTACCTTCTTTGCACAGGGGAACTATGCTGAAGCCGCCAAAGTAGCAGCATCTGCACCAAAGGTAATGAAACTTGAACACTGTATGCCATTCTGAAGTTTTAGGACCCAACCTTGAGGGTAAAATAAAACATGAAAGCATTTCACTACACTATTGGAATATATTAGTGTTATGTTAGTGTGCTTTTTGATTATTTTAAATGTTTTACTAATGGCATAGCAGTAATGGAAACACACCAAATTTTGCTCCACCATTTTATTCTTTATTGTTTTTCTGTTATTGCTGTGTTCATAAATATTTCTTACCCAGAATCTTAGCTCAGGTACAGTTTTGTTTTTTGGTGACTTGAATTTTTCACTGACACTACCTAATCATTAAATATAAAATTATAAAAAATAGGGTAACTATACCTATTTTATTTAGTGACAGTCCTATTCTGGACTTTCTTCACTCTTCTAGAGAATAATAGTTTGGTTTATTTCCTTAGGATACATTTTCCTGGGACTGGATTTACTTCTGAGTAAATAAAGGTTTTCAAGTTACTTCTCCTCTAAAGATTTCTTCCTGTCTTCCAAGTGGATTTGAAGAAACCATTTTATTTTTTAATACCTTTATTTTATTTATTTATTTTTATGTAGTGCTGAGGATCAAACCCAGGCCTCACATGTGCTAGGCAAGTGCTCTACCACTGAGCCACAATTCTAGCTCCTAAACAAACCATTTCTAATGGGACTGAAAGTTTTTTAAATTTGAGTGAGTGTAGAACTTCAAGACCAAGTTAGAGGCCTAATTCTCACTGTAGCCTGGTAGGGTACAAGTAAGATCCAAAATGTGACGTTGCCCTAGGACTTAGACCCACTCTACTTAGTTATTGATGGAGGTAGAAGCAGTAACTTTAGTAGAGGAATTTTTGTCCATGTCAAGTCACTGTAGAATTCCATTGGCAAAAATTTGTTTTATATGAGCAAATTGAGTGAAGGGTTGCCCTGTGATTACAAATAAGCTATATTTTCATTTGTTATCAGGGAATTCTACGTACCTGTGATACAGTCCAGAAGTTCCAAAGTATACCTGCCCAGCCTGGCCAAGCCTCTCCTTTGCTCCAGTACTTTGGAATCCTGCTTGACCAGGGTCAACTCAATAAACTTGAATCTTTAGAGCTTTGCCGGCTAGTTCTTCAGCAGGGGCGCAAGCAACTCTTAGAGAAGTGGCTGAAAGAAGATAAGGTGAAATCACAACCCCAAAATAGTTTGAAAAATGGGTTGCAGCTGCCCTGCTTCTCCAATCCTAATGTTGTCTTGTCTTTTGGCATGTACAGCTAGAGTGTTCAGAGGAACTGGGAGATTTGGTCAAAATTGCTGAACCTATACTGGCTCTGAGTGTGTACCTTCGGGCAAATGTACCAAGCAAAGTTATCCAGTGTTTTGCAGAAACAGGCCAATTCCAAAAAATTGTGCTCTATTCCAAAAAGGTAATACATGTTTCATCATCACTGCACAAATAATTCATGTGCAGGTGGGTGGTTGTCAATTGTGTCATTTATAAAATGCCTTCTATGTGGGGTGAGTGCTCTGGTATACAACAGTTATCAGTACTGTAGTTAGCATCTGGCATTCATTAATATTAATAATATTTTATTATTCACTTTTTTATTTTCCTGTCTTATTTTACAGTCAGAAGCTTTCTTATAATTTTTATCTTTCTCTTACTACTTCTCCATCCTTCTTCCCCCTATACCATCTGTGTGTCAAATCAGTGTTTGTGGGGTTTCAGATCCTATCCCCATGTGGTCAAAATTGTCAGCACTTGCTAGTGCTGTGCCTGCACACCAACCTGGGTTACTTCTCTGTGGTCCATGTTTTTTTTTTAGTTAATTGCATCTCATATACATGGGATCAGTTTTCACTTAATTGGACATTTTATTTGGCAAAGGAGTGGTACATATACATGCTAATGTTGATAGTCATTTTTTTATAAACATAAATTCCAAACTAGAAGATAAACTTTTTTTAATGCCTAGCATTTTTACTTACTTTTCCTGATTGGTGTTCCCTCACTTACAGGTTGGTTATATCCCAGACTGGATCTCTTTGCTGAGGAGTGTGATGAGGATCAGTCCAGAACAGGGTCTGCAGTTTTCCCAAATGCTAGTGCAGGATGAGGAGCCATTGGCCAACATTAACCAGGTGAATATGTGTTGTTTGAGATATTTTAGGACTTTTTGTAGCCATCAAGAAGATTCCCTTTCATTTGGCTTTCTGTTATCACAATTCAGTGATTTTCTTGGTTTGTTCTTATTCTTTTAGTTTTAAAAAAATCTAATGCACTAGGAGAGCTTGTCTTTATTATTTGAATACTTGTCATTCAAGTATTGACAATATTTATTGATTTGTGTGTCAAACTTAGAGGATTTTGTTTCTTTTTGTTGGGATTAGTAATAGGATGTGAGGATGTTATTTAAGAATGGTAGCCCTCCATCCCTTATTCCATTCCATTACTACCCGATTATTTCTTTCTGACAAATAACCTGTACAATGGAAAGTGCAGACAAGTCACCTGACTTGCATATTCTGGGTGTCTAATTGCCCTGAGTTTTAGTATAACTTACTTAATATTCAGGTATAAACACATTTCAAATCACCTTCAGTAAAATACATTCAAGAAGTGTGTAATAAAGCAGAACAGTAAAACCAACAACCTGTCTAGAAATGATATGTACAATTATAATTGGATTTGTGCATCTGGGAATCTGCAGATATTTTGGAAATCATGAAATAAGGGGTTTGAGCCAAATTTACTTAGATCTCAATGGGAAAGAAGTGTCTAGTTGAAATCTTGATTACATTTCATATTTTTTAAACTTTTTTAAAAATATAAACTTTTGGGCTGGGGCTGTAGCTGAGTTGGTAGAGTAACTTTCCTGTCACATGTGGGGCCCTGGGTTCAATCCTCAGCACCACATAAAAATAAAATTAAAATATTGTGTCCATCTACTATAAAAATACTTATTTATATATATATATATATATATATATATATATATATATATATGTATGTATGTATATATATCACTTTTTCCAGGCATGGCAGTGCATGCTTGTAATCCCAAAGGACTTGGGAAGCTGAGGCAAGAAGATTGCCAAGCAACTTAGTGAGACCCTGTCTCAAAAAAAAAAAAAAAAAGGCTAGGGGATGTTACATAGTGGTAAAGTGCCTCTGGGTTCATCCCTAGTACCAAAAAAAAAAAAAAATCCAACTATATGTATTTCCTCTTATACTTTAAGTATGAAAAACGTTACACAGTTGCTAAATTTATTACCTATATTTCACCTCTTATTAAGTTTTATTAATTGTTTTAAATTAATATTTGTTTAACTGTAGTAAGTGTCTAAGTAAATGTGCATTTTCCCACTTGTGCCTGAATAACATAATGATAGTGAATGGGCTATACCCCAGGTATTAGCTTCCTTTACAATTTTTTAAAATTTTTTAGTTGTGGATGGACACAATATCTTTGTTTCATTTATTTATTTTTATGTGGTGCTAAGGATTGAATCCCGTGCCTCACTTGCTAGACAAGTGCTCTACCACTGACTAAAATCCCAGCCCCAATTCCTTTACAATTTGATTAACATTATTTGAATCACTTCGGATTCTGGGGGCTCCCATGTATTATAAAGACAACTGCCTTTAATCCACTCTATTAAAATGGCCTGTTGTTGAGTATAACGTAGGTGTTATAATTTCACAAAATTACCCTTGGGTTAATAATAGCTATGAATTATTTGAATTTCAGAAATATAAGAAAATGCAAAGGAAGGGACTAATCACTGAATTTTTAAATGAGATTCTATCTCAAAAACTGTTTCAATAGGAAAATTAAACAGTTCCTTCTCTGAGTGAAAACATGGCTTGGATCTTTGTAGATTGTGGACATTTTCATGGAAAACAGTTTAATTCAGCAGTGTACTTCCTTCTTGCTGGACATCTTGAAGAATGATCACCCAGCTGAGGGGCACCTCCAGACCCAGCTGTTGGAAATGAATCTGATCCATGCACCCCAGGCAAGTGACATCTCTAGGCTAGTAACAAGGGGCAGGGTACCTGCTGTGCCTCTGTATGGGATGTACAGACCTGAGCACAGAGGTTTTGAACTGGTTATGCTTGTTCCAGATGTTTATTTTTATGCTTCTCAGTAGGCAAAAAAACGTTTTCCTCCAAGGTTTTTCAGGAAATCAGGGTACAGAACATTCAAGGAAACAGTTACAACTGGGAATATAATTTCTTCCTTTCTTCTCTTTTTCATTGTGGTAAAATATGCATAACAAAGTTTACCATTTTTAAGTTTTTTTTTAGTTTTATTGATTTTATTTTTTTATTTTATTTTATTTTTATTTTATTTTTTTTAGAGAGAGAGAGAGAGAGAATTTTAATATTTATTTTTTAGTTTTCGGCGGACACAACATCTTTGTTTGTATGTGGTGCTGAGGATCGAACCCGGGCCGCACGCACGCCAGGCAAGCGCGCTACCGCTTGAGCCACATCCCCAGCCCCTGATTTTATTTTTTTAAATACACAATAACAGAATGCATTACAGTTCTTATTACACATATAAACCACAATTTTTCATATCTGTTTATATATAAAGTATGTTGACACCCAATTCAAGTCTTTATACATGTACTTTGGATAATGATGTCCATCACATTTCACCGCCCTTGCTAATACCCTGCCCCTTCCCTTTCCCTCTCACAGGTCTTCCCTATCTAGAATTCATCTAATCCTCCCATGCTCCCCCCACCCTACTCCACTATGAGTCAGCTTCCTTATATCAGAGAAAACATTTGACATTTGTTTTTTGGAGATTGGCTAACTTCTCTTAGCATTATCTTCTGCAACGCCATCCATTTACCTGCAAATGCCATGATTTTATTCTCTTTTAATGCCGAGTAAAATTCCATTGTGTATATATGTCACATTTTTTTATCCATTCATCCACTGAAGGGCATCTAGGTTGGCTCCACAGTTAGCTATTATGAATTGTGCTGCTATAAACATTGATGTAGCTGTGAACCTGTCGTATGCTGTTTTTGCATCCTTTGGGTATAGTCCGAGGAGAGGGATAGCTGGGTCAAATGGTGGTTCCATTCCCAGATTTCCAAGGAATCTCCAAACTGCTTTCCATATTGGCTGTACCAATTTGCAGTCCCACCAGCAATGTATGAGTGTATCTTTTTCCCCACATCCTCACCAACACTTATTGTTGTTTGCTTTCATAATAGCTGCCATTCTGACTGGAGTGAGATGATATCTTAGAGTACTTTTTTTTAATATTTATTTTTTACTTATAGGTGGACACATATCTTTATTTTATTTTATTTTTATGAGGTGCTGAGGATCGAACCCAGGGCCTCACAGGTGCTAGGCAAGCACTCTACCTCTGAGCCTCAATCCCAGCCCCTTAGAGTAGTTTTGATATGCATTTCTCTGATTGCAAGAGATGATGAGCATTTTTTCATTTATTGTTGATTGATTATATATCTTCTTCTGAAGAGTGTCTGTTCAGGTCCTTGGCCCATTTGTCAATTGGGTTATTTGGGGTTTTTTGGTGCTTAGCTTTGAAAATTTCAGACCAATATCTCTTATGAACATAGATACAAAAATTCTCAATAAAATTCTGGCAAATCTAATACAAAAACATATCAAAAAGATTGTGCACCATGATCAAGTGGGATTCATCCCAACATACGAAAATTAATGAAGGTAATTCATCACATCAGTAGACTTAAAGATAAGAATCATATGATCATCTCAATAGATGCAGAAAAAGCATTTGACAAAATACAGCACCCCTTTATGTTCAAAACACTAGAAAAACTAGGAATAACAGGAACATATCTCAACATCGTAAAGGCTATCTATGCTAAGCCTCAGGCCAACATCATTCTAAATGGAGAAAAATTGAAGGCATTCCCTCTGAAAACTGGAACAAGACAGGGATGTCCTCTTTCACCACTTCTATTCAACATAGTTCTTGAAACACTGGCCAGAGCAATTAGATGAAAAAAATCAAAGGGTTATGTATAGGAAAAGAAGAACTTAAATTAGCATTATTTGCTGACAATATGATTCTATACCTAGAAGACCCAAAAACTCCACCAGAAAACTTCTAGAACTAGTAAATGAATTCAGCAAAGTAGCAGGATATAAAATCAATACCCATAGATCAAAGGCATTTCTGTATATCAGTGACAAAGCCTCTAAGAAGGATGAGGAAAACTATCCCATTCACAGTAATCTCAAAAAAAATAAAATAAAAATAAGATACTTGGGAATCAACTTAGTGAAATAGGTGAAAGATCTATACAATGAAAACTACAGAACCCTAAAAGAGAAATCAAAGAAGACCTTAGAAGATGGAAAGATCTACCTTGCTCTTAGATAGGCAGAATTAATGTTATCAAAATGACCATACTACCAAAAGCACTATACAGATTTAATGCAATTCTGATCAAAATCCCGATGGTATTCCTCATAGAAATAGTAAAAGCAATCATGAAATTCATCTGTAAAAATAAGAGACCCAGGATAGCTAAAGTAATCCTTAGCAGGAAGAGTAAAGCAGGTAACATTGCTATACCAGACCTTAAACTATAGTACAGAGCAATAGTAACAAAAACAGCATGGTATTGGCACCAAAACAGACTGGTAGACCAGTGGTACAGAATAGAGGACACAGAGACTAACCCACAAAATTACAATTATCTTATATTAGACAAAGGTGCCAAAAACATGCACTGGAGAAAAGATAGCATCTTCAACAAATGATGCTGGGAAAACTGGAAATCCATGTGCAACAAAATGAAATTAAATCCCTATCTCTCACCATGCACAAAACATAACTCAAAATGGATCAAGGACCTAGGAATTAGACCAGAGACTCTGTGTGTAATAGAAGAAAAAGTAGGTCCCAATCTTCATTATGTGGGATTAGGCCCCAACTTCCTTAATAAGACTCCTATAACACAAGAATTAAAACCAAGAATCAATAAATGGGATGGAATCAAACTAGAAAGTTTCTTCTCAGCAAAAGAAACAATCTGTGAGGTGAACAGAGAGCCCACATCCTGGGAGCAAATTTTTACCCCTCACAAATCAGATAGAACACTAATCTACCATTTTAGGTTTTTAAATGTGCAATTCAGTGATGTTAAGAAGATTCACAGAGCTGGATGTGGTGGTACATGTCCATAATCCCAGCTACTCAGGAGGCTGAGTTAGGAGGATCACAAGTTCAAACCCAGCCTGAGCAAATCAGTGAAACCCTGTCTCAAAATAAAATAAAAAGGGCTGGGACTGGGGATGTGGCTCAAGCAGTAGGGCGCGGCGCTGGGTTCGATCCTCAGTACCACATACAAATAAAGATGTTATGTCTGCCAAAAACTAAAAAATAAATATTAAAAAATTCTCTCTCTCTCTCTCTCTCTCTCTCTCTCTTTAAATAAAGAAATAAAGAAAGAAAATAAAAAGGGCGGGTATGTGCTAAGTTCAGTGCTAAGTTCAGTCCCCAGTACTTAAAAAAAAAAAGAGAGGACATTCACAAAATTGTGCAACCAACATCACTATATATTTTTATCATCCCAAAAGGGAACTGCCTCTAGCAGCCATCATTCTGCTTTCTATCTCTATGAAATTGCCTATTCTATATAGTTCATACAAATGAAATCATAAAATATTTGTCCTTTTGTCTTTTTTCTTTTTAATATTTTATTCATGTTATATCATGTGTTGTAAATTCATTTAAATTCCATTGTTAAGGCTACATAATATATTCCATATTATATGTATACTACATTTTATTTATCCTTTCATCTGTTGATGGACACTGGGTTGTTTCCACATTCTGGCTGTTATGAATAATGCTGCTTTGAACGTGAATGTACAAGTATCTCTTCAAGACCTGGCTTTCAATCTTTTTGAATATACTCCTAAACGTGGAATTGCTAGATCATATTGTAATTCTGCATTTAATTTCTTGAGGAACCACTGAGCTGTATTCCAAGAGGCTTCAGCATTTTATATTTCTGTCAGCAACACAAAATTTCTCTGTCCTTTCCAACACTTTTTCCTTTTATTCATTTATTTTTTAAATAACCACCATCTTAATGGGTGCAGTGGTATCTCACTGTGATTGGGGCATCATTTCTTAACCTGAAAGATGGGGGCATATGATCAAATCACATGTATTGCTATTTTTGGTTAAATTTGGAGATAAATGCATAGTGCAGAGATTGGAGATAAATATATGACATAGATGATTTAATGTAAAGCTGTTTGACCAAGGTTGTATGAGAAGTTCACCTTGTTCATTACTTATTTGTCTTCTGATTTGTTTTTCTTTAATAATCACATAATATTTTGAAATTTGTAATTAACATGCTTTATTCTATTACCTCAGTTTATCCAAATCCACAAGTCAGCTACTAAGTGTATCCATCATATCCCGCCTTTAGGAAATAAAATTGGTAATTTACTATTTGATGTATTTGAACTCTCATGACTTGGTGATTATGCATAAAGGATTTTAGTAAATAGAAACCAAGCAACACTCAGAAACTCAGCATACAGACCCCAAAGAGTGCCCACACTGTAAGGGATGAGCTGACAACTAGGCATAGTACTAAAGGCTTGGGCCACAGTGCTTGAAACAGTGAGGCAGTCTTCTTTGGATGATGAGCACTGGATGATGCTTTCTGTCTTTGCTTATCTATCTAAGTTCTCTAAAACACAGTTTCTCTGATAAAGGGGAGATATTGAAAAACAAGAGGATAGTTATGCCAAAATAAAAGAAAAAAAGGATAGAGGGAAGCAGGTATCAGGTATTCAAAAACTCTCCTCTCAGGACTTGATTTGATCCTTTATTCTGTAGGAATACAGAGTGTGCATAACCCTTGAGCAGTGTGGTATAGACTGTATGTAGTCACTGTGCATGCATCTAGTCCTCTATTGGGTTTGTGTTCCACATCCTAGAAGGGATGGAAAAGAGTGTGCTGAGCTGCAGGTGAAGGCACCCAGGAGTACAACTTGTCAAGACTAACTACTGGTTAGAGACACTGGTAAGATCACTCAGAAAGGCAACAAAGTTGCTGTGTTGACATATCCATTTTAGTCCAGAGAGTACTAAAAATCTTAAACCTCATCAAAATTCTTTCTAGGTGGCATGTACTTATAATCTCAGCTACTCAGGAGGCTGAGGCAGGAAGGTTGCTTAAACCCAAAAGTTCAGGGCCAGCCTGGGAAACATAACAGGACTTCACCTCTTAAACCTCTAATACCTATTCCAAAACATATCTGTAACCCTATCTACATCATCCTCTCCATCCCCCTCTCTCCAGCTCTGACCTCTAATCACTTGACCCTATCCCAACATCAAACCTAAACTATGAAATCTAAATCATTATACTATAACCCTGTAACATATACACTAACCAATAACTAGTGCTAACAACCCTAATTCCCAAACTATAACCCTAGCCATATCCTATATCCTATACCTTATAACCAACCTAATCTCCACCCCAACCACATGCAACTCAAACCACCTCATCTTCACCTTCAACCACTCCCCAAACCTAACCAATTACTTCTAACTCCACCCGCAATCTACATCTTGAAATAAAGGACCTTATCTCTTTATAAAAAATAATTCCAGGAGTATTTATTGTTTTAAGTTCCATTCCTAATTCCGCCTTTAATTCAATAGAGAAGTCTAGTAAACAAATAGGATTTGTTACTTTCAGATCTAATTCTGACTCATCTGAGAATTAAAAGAAGGTGTGGTAGAATTGAGCCCTTCCACTGATCTTGCTATAGAAAACCCTATAAAAATGTAATTGCTGAACCCAACTACTATGTAACCATAAAGCTCTAATAAAAAAGATGTAATTGCTGAAAAACTGCAACAGGATCCTGGACTAATCCCAATAATAGTGTTTTATGGAGCCTCAGTATTTCTTACATGCCTGACTCCAGCCTATCAGAGCTCTAGCTGTCCTTCAAGTCATCTTTTGCACAAGGCTCTATTTTCCCATGTTGCAGAGCTAGGCCTGGCTCACAACATGGGAAAATAGAGCCTTGTGCAAAAGATGACTTGAAGGACAGCTAGAGCTCTGATAGGGAACCACTAACACTGCAGCTACCATGGAAGCATGGATATAAGCACTGGTTCCTGAGCTACACACTACCCTGGGGGGGGGGGGTAGGGTACAGTTGATCAGCTGCTGTTTAAAATTTACTGCCATCAATCAGGTTTTCTTACTGAAGTTGATATTTCACAGGTTGCAGATGCCATCCTTGGAAATCAGATGTTTACACATTATGATCGAATCCATATTGCCCAGCTTTGTGAGAAGGCAGGCCTCCTGCAATGGGCGCTAGAGCACTACAGTGACATCAGTGACATCAAGAGGGCTGTAGTCCACACCCATCTTCTCAATCCTGAGGTACAGTGCACCACTGGGGCACTCCCCTTGTTACTGGTGTCTATATGGTCATTCATATCACATGCTCCCAAATGTGTCCTGTAGGTGGTTTGTGAGACCAGGCATGAGCCTGCCGTGCTTTACTGTACACACAATCCTCACCTGCCCATCAACATGTCTGGGGTCCATGTCATCTTTCTTTCACCTTTGACTTATTCTAATAACAGGAATAATGATAACATTTTAACATTGACAACCTAGCAAGACTGTCTGAATCATCAGTAAAAACTAAAAGAGCTACTGTGTTCCAATTACAGAATAGTTTTAGAATCAACTGTAGGATATACTAGGATAAACAGTTTAGGTCAGGGTTTTATCCTAAATTTATTCCTTGCTCCCACTTTTTACCATGATAGATAGGTGCTTTTTGGTCTTATTAAGTGAGAATTCTTTACACTTTTGACATTTAGGGTGGGGATGGGAATGATCCAGTTATTTAGTAACATTTACAACTCTTCCTTATTCTCAGTGGCTTGTCAATTTCTTTGGTTCCTTGTCGGTGGAGGATTCCATGGAGTGTCTACATGCCATGTTGTCTGCTAACATCAGACAGAACCTTCAGCTGTGTGTGCAGGTGGCTTCTAAGTACCATGAACAGCTGGGCACACAGTCCTTGGTAGAGCTTTTTGAATTCTTCAAGAGTTATGAAGGTAAATCATGCAGCCCTGGGCAGACCCTGCCTTATGATGACACCTGTCTTCTTATGTGTTGCTGTTCACTCATGCAACATAGAAGAGTCTTCCTTTAAAGCTAGGCAGGATGCAATTCTGACTGCCTTACATGTTCAGTCAAGAGCAGAATATTACTTTTCTCTCAGGGGTATATTCAACTTATGTAACCTTTTTGGTATTTTCAAAGAAAAAAAGCAAGTTGGTTGGCAGTGGGATGGGGGTACTTATAATTCCCCTAATATCCTTGAAGTCTTTGTAGAACCTTGTATCTCCATGTAGGACAGCTTAGTGCAGAATTCATCTGAAATTCTGTAATTGTGGTTCTGGGTACCAGTGAAAGGGCCTGGTATCTGGTCTGAGCAGCCCTGACAAGGCAACTCTTTTGTCCTCTTCCAAGTGAAAGCCCACAGTAGAGGGTCCATCACTTTGTGGTGTTACCTTGTTGATTGCAGATGAGGCCTATCTGGTTGCCATCCTTTGCCCTTTTGTGGTAATTTCACCAAAAGAATTCCAGGAAGGGTGGCTTTGTTGGGTTCAGGCTGGGGGCCTGACTAGATGTTTTAGAGAGATGGCAAGGCACACAAACTTTACATAGATGAAGAAGTCTGAGTGGGTCTGAAGAGTTGAGCAGGGTCGTTGTGGGTGGGGTGATCAAGAGAAAGTGAGCAACTGCCAAAGAGAAGACAAATGAATGTTAGGAGGGTAAACATGAAACAGTTTCTATTTATAGGCCTCTTCTACTTCCTGGGCTCAATTGTGAACTTTAGCCAAGACCCAGATGTGCATTTGAAGTACATTCAGGCTGCCTGCAAGACAGGGCAGATCAAGGAGGTGGAGAGAATATGCCGCGAGAGCAGCTACTATTACCCAGATAGGGTGAAGAATTTCCTAAAGGTATGTCCAGGCATGCCTTCCCTGACAAGCTGCTTTCAAGGGGTGATAGACCTGGCCAGAAGTCCTAAGAAGTACTAAGCTGAGTTTGTCTTGCCTTTATTCCCTTAACACCCAGTGACAAATCTCTACTTTATGATGGTCTAATATTCTTAGAGGACTCCACTCATCATTAAGAGAACCCTTTGAAGGAGAAAGAAACTAGAGGCTGTCCAGCTCTAGTTATCCATCATGCAGGTGGCAGCAGTTAATTCATTACTGCATTTTATTTCAGCAGCATCCCAACTGCGCCCCTGTTGGTTATGTGTGGTAAAGCTGCAATAACAAATAGACCAGTCAGTGTTAGAGGCATAAAGAACAATTAGCAAACTGGGCTTGGTGACAACACCTGTAATCCCGGCAACTCAGGAGCTGAGGCAGGAGAATCACAAATTTGAGGCCAGCTTCATCAACTTAGCAAGGCCCTAAGCAATTCAGTGATATCCTGTCAAAAAATTTAAAAGGTTGGGAATGTCTTTCAGTGGTTAAGCACCTCTGGGTTCAATTCCTTGTGCCGAAAAAAAAAAAAAAAAGAACAAAATAAGAAGCCTATTTCTCATGCAACAGTCCTGGATAGCCGTGAGTTTGAGTGATATGGCTTTCCATGCCACCATCCTTTGAAGGATTGGCATATAACTGTTTTGCCATATTCAGTACTTTGCCTTGAATGTTGCCTTCCCTGTCAATTGGTGGAAGGGAAGAGTACATTTCATTGGTGGCTTTTATGGCTAAGTTCTGAAGATCGCCGGTAACACTTTGGTTCATGTTCCCTTGAAGGAAATGAGGTTATGTGACCTCACCTGAAACTCTAGGGAACCTGGGAAAGGTGATCTAGGTGTGGGTCCAAATAAAGATTAATGTGATTATGGTGGCCTATTGACTCTCCTGATAAACTATTGTTTAGGAACTGAGTCTGAGTGTGTGAACAGCTCCCCCACTACCTCACCCCACTAGGCTGGCATTTCCTTGGGCTGTGACTTTATTGCAGATGAACTATTCTTTTTTGGAGGGGGTGTTTAGGGATGAAATCAAGGGCACTTGACCACTTAGCCACATCCCCAGCCCTATTTTTTGTATTTTATTTAGAGATAGGATCTCACTGAGTTGCTGAGGCTAGCTTTGAACTTTTGATCCTCCTGCCTCAGCCTCCCAAGCCACTGGGATTATAGGCATGTGCCACCACATCCAGCAATTGCAAATGAACTATTCTGGTGGGCAGCCTGACCTATGTTGGGTTTCCACATAATGAGCTGCTTGTCTCAACCCAAAAGATGTTTGGATTTGCATAAATTTGGAAAGTTATTGTCAAATTTAGCAGAGATCTCTTGTTTTTAGCCAAATACTATTACCTTCTCCCCACTTGTTTCCCAAAACAAACACTACATTCTCACAATGTAAATGCCTTAAATGTCAGCCTATCTAGAGCAAAGTCTCCTTGTACATTCCCTGCAGGATCACTGTTGCACAGGCTAGGTCTGACTCTGTGGGGTCCCTCACTGCCTGACCTATTCTCTTCTCTCTATCCTTCAGGAGGCTAAGCTCACAGACCAGCTCCCCCTCATCATTGTGTGTGACCGCTTTGACTTTGTGCATGACCTTGTCCTGTATTTATACCACAACAACCTGCAGAAGTACATTGAGATCTACGTTCAGAAGGTACCATTCAGAGGGACACTGCGGACTCCCAGGGTGACACCTAGATGCCCTTAGGCCTCAGACAGTGATAATAGTCTACACCTCAGAGGCTGCCTCTTGACTCCTGAACATTTTAGAAATTTCACTTTGAAGGGTAGTGTATTCGTTTGCTCAGGCTGCCAGAATAGAATACCATAGATTGAGCAGCTTAAACAACAGAAATTTATTTATCACAGTTTCTGGAGGTTGAAAGTCCAAGCCCAAGGTATTGGCTGAGTTGGTTTCTAGTAAGGGCTCTTTTCCGGGCCTGCAGATAGCTACCTCAGCACTGCATCCTCACATGGTCTTTCCTTTGTGCACATGCATTTCTTATAAGGACACCAGTCCTATTGGATTAGGGCCCCATCCTCAACATCAATTACCTCTTTATTTATTTATTTTTGCCCCCCTAGCTGTACATAGTGTAGAGTTGCACCAGTAGTATAACCATACATGACATTAATTACTCTTTAAAGGCCCTGTCTCCAAATTCAGTCTTAACATGGATAGGACTTTGACAAATGAACTTTGATGGGACACAGTTCAGTCCAAAATAGGTTTTTGCCACACTGTACAAGTCTTGGGGGGCTTATAGCAATTCTGTTGTCTGCAGTGCTGAACTTGCCACCTTGATTCTTCTAGGTCAACCCTAGCCGTCTCCCAGCTGTGGTTGGAGGGCTGCTTGATGTGGATTGTTCTGAAGAAGTAATTAAAAACTTAATCATGGTGGTGAGAGGACAGTTCTCTACTGATGAGCTGGTGGCTGAAGTAGAAAAAAGAAACAGGTAAGGTTTTTTTACTTGGTATCTTCTCTTGCCCCTGGATTCTGGTATTTGTTGTTAAGTCTCTCCTTCTCAAAAATGCCTTATTGGTTGGTCTTTAGTCCCCAAGACTATTTTTGTCTCTCTTTTGTGTATACATCTTAGGTGTAGGAGTGAGTTAGTTGCTGTTGGTACTGAAGACAATGGGGTAAAACTTTATATTTGGAAGCTAGGTCTGTCTTTATCCCTGGAGCAACCTGAAATAAATAGAGTAAGGGATTGTTTGTTTGTTGTTTCAAGAATCAACCCTCAGGGCTGGGGTTATAGCTCAGTGGTAGAGCACTTGCCTAGCATGTATGAGGCACTGAGTTTGATTCTCAGCACTGCATATAAATAAAGATCCATTGACAACTAAAAAAAAAAATTTTTAAAAAAAGAATCAATCCTCAAAGCCCAGGGTTACCCTAGAGATACCTGATCACAGCTTTGAGAGTTTCACAGTATCTACTTTTTTCAAAGGCTCAAATTGCTTCTTCCCTGGCTGGAGTCTCGGATTCATGAAAGCTGTGAAGAGCCTGCCACTCATAATGCACTGGCTAAAATCTACATTGACAGCAACAATAGCCCTGAGCGCTTTTTGAGAGAGAATGCCTACTATGATAGCAGTGTGGTGGGCCAGTACTGTGAGAAGCGGGACCCACATCTGGCCTGCATTGCCTATGAGCGGGGACAGTGTGACCTAGAGCTCATCCAGGTAGGCAGAAAATATACTTGGCTTCCTGTGTCTCTCTGACTTCCCAGGGAAGCCTAATAGGGGCTGATTGGGAATTTGTGTACCCAGAGATGATGGGTCTGAAGTTCATTTCCATACATTTAGTTGTTTAATAATTCTGATACCTTTTTGTGATCTCCTTATGTCCTGTTGTATCTGTAGGCTTCACTAGCACTGAATCTGACCCATCACCCCTCTGCTTACAGTCATTAGTTATCTGGTGACTTGAGGGCAAAATTGAATTTAATCTGATCTGTGGACCACCTCCTTTCCCCCATTGACCCAGCCTGCTTCCCCTCTTGCAGCCCCACCTGGCATGACCTGTAGTCCTCCAGTGTCTCCTGTCCTAAGGGCCCTTGTACTGCCCCCTTCTTAGAGTAACTTTTCAGATGCCCTCCCTCACCTGTTCCTAACCCACCTAGCCCTTGCTGCCCCCTCCTTGAAAAACATTCACCAGGTCTTCTGCTTATATCTGCCCAGGTTGGGATGTATGTGTATGTACTTATGTGTTTAGGGTAAACTGTATAAACTACTACCACTTGACCTACAAATCCAGAAATCTCATGTGGTTGAATCTAGTGTTTTTTCAGCTATAAGCTCATTTGGTCTATTTGTTCTCAGCAGCTCAGGTCTCGTAGTATATATATATATACTCAACAACCAGGTGCGGTGTATGTTAGAGTGTATATGAGGAGAGTTGAAGATGAAGAGCAGTTACCAGCTTCTCCTTCTGCCCTAGTTTTTAGACAGAATTGACAGGGATGAGTGAATATAACCACTCACCTGAAAGTCTTGGGGGAACTGGTTTTATAAAGCTGGGACGTTCATTTGTTTGATACCAGTTAGCCACTTTTTGGCTTTATTTACTCCCTTTTTATTAAAGCATAGTTTAATGGCTGCTTAGAGATCTTAGCACTCATCTGTTCCATGAGGTGCTAACCCTTTTAGTAAGGCCAAGTGTGCTAGGAAAGAGATACTCATTCAGGACTGCTCTGTTCAAGAGAGGGCTGCAGTATGACTTTAGGGCAGGGCCTCTGTATGGTTAGCACTTTGCCAGTCTACTTTGGCCTCCTGCCATCCCACACAGGCAGCCCATGTTGCCTTCACTTACATACACATATCCCAGCCCTGTGCCTATCAGGATATGTTTCTCCCCAAGATTTAGCAAATGCTTCACATGGTGGAATATCCCAGTGGATAATCAATAATTTGAAAATCTATTACAGTATTCAGAGAAGGATCTCAAAGTTAGTCAATGAAAGCACATTTTAAAGTTTCTGACCTTGAAACATTTCAGTGAATATACTGTTTTATACCAGTTCTAGGTACACAGATGAAATTTTAGAGATGATTTGGAGCTACCTACAGTTGAGTATTTAAATTAAAATTTAATTTAATTTTAATTTTAATTAAAATTAAAAATTGAGTTCCTCAGCTGCACACTACATTTTAAGTGTTCAGGAGTTTTCTGTATTTAATGGTGGTGAATCACACAATAAGGTATAGACATGCCCATAATCACAGAAGGTTCTATAGGCCAGAGACGTGACACTTCCCTGTGAGTGATTGCAAACTTAGAGGTGATTGGAGGTACTTAATCTCTCTGAGGAGTGCAGTATTAATCCTGTGGGTTTCTGCTCATCACTTCTCAAAGCCTTGCCTGAGTCCCAACTGTCCATATAAGTATCAGGGAGAAGGAACTCACTGGGATATACCCTCCTAAGTAGCACATATGTGTACTCATTTCAGGTTTGCAATGAAAATTCTCTGTTCAAAAGTGAGGCCCGCTACCTGGTACGCAGGAAGGATCCAGAGCTGTGGACCCGTGTCCTTGCAGAGACCAACCCATCTAGGAGACACCTAATTGACCAGGTGAGACACAGAAAGCGGGTATATGCATGCCTGAATTTTGCCCACTATTCATCTTGTGGGCCAAGTGACTGGTTCGTTGTTATATTTAAACATATAGCTCTTACAAACCCACTGCCCTGCACAAGTCAGCTTGCCTAGAAAAGGCTTGATTTCCAAGGGTGAATTGACTTGGAGTTGTTTATTAGCTAAGGTTACAGAGTTTACCCTTGTATCTGAAACATGGCTGTGCCGCCCCTACAAAAGAATACTTGATGACAGGATCTGCATGCTAGATCCTGAGGTGTTTTTCCAACTCAGCCCCCTGTTGACATAAGTTGAGTGATTCTCAACATCTAGTCAACCCCATGCCCTTTTGACTATACAGTACCTCCTTGGAGCTGGAATATGGTGCTAGGGTCAGGGTCTTTATTAGGTGTGACCTAGTGGCAAGGGGAAGAAAGATTTGCCTCCACCTCTGGGTGAGCTTCCCATACCACCTGTCACAACCTTGCAGACATTAACAGTGTTTCTGTAGTCCTTAGGACAACAAGGCTGCTGAGCATACTGTTGAGGGATAGCCAAGACCAATGTGGTATTAAAACCCTTATCCAAGTGGCTTCAACGATGAGCATATATTCAATAAAGTCCCAGCCTTACTTGGATACCTAACAACATGCTGGTCAGGTACTTTAAACTCAAGGGCCAGATTTTACCTTATCTCTACTAACTTCCTTATTTTCTGTCTATAGTTCCTTCAAGCCTATGCCATTTTTAAGTAAACTTTTTATTTTGAAACACTTTTAGACTTACAGAAACACATATTATTTTGAATATTAAGGCAACTTCAGACTTATCAATCTTGAAATTTGCCTGAAGACTTAATATACTTCATTCAAATCTCCTAAAACTTTGAGCAACAAAGGGCTTGGGACAAAGTTCATTTAGATTCCATAAGGATCTATCTCCAAGTTCACAGACATCAGATGTTTCTTTAGGTGTAGTCACCCACCAGATACCCTCATGTTGGTTCTTGAGAAAGCAGCTTTGACACTGCACCAAACTAGAGCCAGCAGGGCCCCATGTATCCTTTTTTCTATGTGAAGCTGCTGGGCTAGTCATTATGTCTGCTCTAATTGATCATCTGTAGTCACCTCCTGGTAGGACACTCAACTATAATGCTCCTCTCATGGAGTACATGACAGAGGCAGACTGCTTTCGGTGTCTAAAGGAGAATTTTATACAAATTACTTAAGGAAGCAGTGAGTGTCCTGAGGTAGCCTTCATTGGGCATCCTGTGTTAATTCAAGTAAAAGGTAGAAATTTATTTTTGCCCTTAAAACAACCTGTGGGGGTATATATATTTACACTAAGATTTTCAAGAACTGACAAGTGTCACTGTTGAGATGCCACAAAGTGTGTCTCTTCTTTGGATGGACTTGGTGTGCTGTGCCACAGCGCCCCTCTCCCTCAAGTTTACTCCTTTTGATTACTTGGCTGCTGCAATGGCTCCTTCTCCCTTAACTCCTTAGCATGTTTATTGTGATTGTAAACTACTCAGAGATAGAACTTCCACCTTTCATGGTGCCACTGAGTACACAGAGGCCATCTGAGGGGTGGACTGGGCTCCCTTGAGAGGCTTCTTTTAGTCCTGTTTTGTGGCCAGAGGCATGTCAGCTCTGAGACCTCCCTAGCTGTTTGTTCTTTCTAATTAATACACTGCTGTTACCTGCCTCTGAGGAACACCAGAAACAGCAAAAATTGTAGATCCCCAAAGTCATTAAAGACCCCTGGTACAAGTGCAAAGAGAACACTGCTAATCTTCTAATTTGCTGTTATCGAGAACACCCACTCTTTGGAAAAGTGTCTTTTTTTCCTGTTTGTTAGTTTTTTGGTAGATGAGTCACTGGTAATTGGATGAGGAGTGGCATGGCCAGTCTTCTGTTGGTTTTTTTTTTTTTTTTTTTTTTTAGATTGTGGTTCTCAGTGGCTTCTGGTGTCAAGGCTCTATAGCTCCAATTGCATGTGATGCATTCCCTGAAAGTGTACTGTGCCACAGCAGTGACAGTGCCCTCTGTTAGCAAGAAGCTGCTGGAGGCCTCTGCAGTGTCTTCATTAGAGAAACAGGGGCCAAGTTTGTTATGAATGGTGGCCTTACGTAAGAAAGGTAACAGCAAATGTGCATTTCAAATATCTACTTAGTACACTGAGTTATTTGCTTTGGAATACACTTAGTGTAATCATTGGAACAGAGATGAAAGTCTGTTGCCCTTTTGTGAGAGAAAAACTAATTGTCAAAATTGGAAAACAGAATTCCCTAAAGTTGACTTTTATAAGTTCTCTTCCCTTTTTTCCTTGAGAAAACTGCCCATTTTTCTCTGTGTCTGCTCCAGATCATCTTGGAGGAATTCTCCCCTTCTTTTTTACTTCAAAGATCGTCTTGAATTGACTTTAATCAGGTTCTTTCAAATATTTCTTAAAACCAGGTGGTACAAACAGCATTATCAGAAACACAGGATCCTGAAGAGGTTTCAGTCACTGTCAAAGCCTTTATGACAGCTGACCTCCCTAATGAATTGATTGAACTGCTGGAGAAGATTGTTCTGGATAATTCTGTCTTCAGTGAGCACAGGTAATGGTGTGCCGGGGAGGCCACCGCCACGGCTAAATTTAGACATCTTCTCAATAGTCACATTTTGTAATAATCTTGTCTTGCTTCACTCATCCATCAACTACTCCCCAGTCAGCCTTTTTACTACCTCCTATGTCTTCAGTTCACCCTTCCCTTATCTTATTTTAATTGTTGCAGGAAGGCTTTGTTATTCTAGTTCCCACTGTTCTGTAATCTCAATGCTCAGAGAAGGAAAGCTAACATTTGATGAGAACCTGTGGTTCTCAGTGGCTTCTGTTGTATGTAGCTTCAGCTAGTATGTTGCCACTTTAAAATCATCATCAGAATCTGTCAGGTTGTAATGTGTTCACATTATAAATCCTGGTGTAAAGATTTAATTATAAGATTTTATAGGCCAGAAAGACTTTCGAGGGCTATGGTATTACAGAAAGGAATGTATGTAAGTTTTATGTTTTTAAATTTGTAAATGCTGCATGGTAAATATGGAATGTGTGATTACTGCATATTTCAATAGAATCATAAGCCCAGATTGATAAGAGAGTACCAGAAAGAAGGCACCCAGAGTAGTTAGGGTATTCTACCTTGCTGTCTGACCTACTTCCTTTGATGGTAGGTGTTGGCTTGTGGGTGCTTCAAGATGCTTCCAGATGACTCTGACTCTGCTGCCTCCATGAACACTGCTACTTTTCACAGATGCAGAGAGACTTTCACATTCTTGCTCTTCTTTCTGTGACTATTTCAGTAGACATAAATGAAAACAGCCTGGATTGGCAGTAGTACAGATCAGGTACCTAGAGACTTGGGCAGATCCTATCACTGGAAAAACTCCAAATTATAGGTGAATTAAAAACAAAACAAGGGCTGGGGATGTGGCTCAAGCGGTAGCGCGCTCGCCTGGCATGCGTGCGGCCCGGGTTCGATCCTCAGCACCACATACAAACAAAGATGTTGTGTCCGCCGAGAACTAAAAAATAAATATTAAAAAAATTCTCTCTCTCTCTCTCTCTCTCCTCTCTCTCTCTCTCTCCCACTCTTTCTTTAAAAAAAAAAAAGTTTTGGAGTTAAAAAAAAATCAGAAACAGTGTGCAGCAAGTAAATAATGAAGTCTGCAATTAGAAAATGATAATGATGATGATAGCAAGAACTCAAAAAGAACACAGGTTGAGTTTTGCCAAATGCTGTTGAGCCCAGGCTGTGGTTCTCACAATAGGGGACAAAGAGACAAAGGCTAAGGGCCTACAAAAGATGTGACATCTAGCCACCAGGCACAATGGCTCACTCCTGTAATTCCTGTGACTTAGGAGCCTGAAACAGGAAGATCACAAGTTCAAGGCCAGCCTTAGCAACATAGCAAGGTCTTTCAAAGATCATTTGAATTGACTTTAATCCCTAGCCTCCCCAATGACTGGTATTAGAGATGAGTTCTACTGCATCAAGTTGTCTCAAAATAAAAATAAAAAGGACTGGGGATGTGGGGATGTGGCTCACATGGTAAAGTGCCCTTGAGTTAAATCCCCAGTACAAAAAAGAAAAAAAAGATGTGACATCTAATAAAAGGGAAGGGGGAAAAAAACCCTGAAAACAAAGATAAACTAAGAATTATTTAGCCCTCTGCTGAGAAAGACCAGCCAAATCAAAACAGTAAAGAAGCCAGGCACAGTGGCACATACCTGTAATCCTAATGGCTCAGGAGGCTGAGGCAAGAGGATCACAAGTTCAAGGCCAGCCTCAGCAATTTAGCAAGGCCCTAAGCAATTCAGTGAGACCCTGTCTCTAAATAAAATATAAAAAGCACCATACCTGGGTTCACAATGCTAGACTACGAGAACAAAACTGACCCCAATAAGCTGGCCCTTTCATGGGTTTTAACAAAAATTTTACTTTCAACATAGTATTAGAAATCTTCAAGTCAGGAATTTTCAGGAAGCATCCTAAGATCTCTGCCAAAGACAAATACAAAGATTTCTAACAGAAAGCATTCCAAGAAATAATGAATTCATAATAAAAACATTGACAGGGGCTGGGGTTGTGGCTTAGTGGTAGAGTGCTTGCCTAGCACATGTGAGGCACTGGGTTCCATCCTCAGCACCACATAAAAGATAAATAAATAAAATAAAGGTATTGTGTCCATCTACAACTAAAAAAATATTTTTAAAAAATTGACAGAATTCACAGAGAAACAAAGCAACTTTAGTAAGAGCCTACAGTAACAGTAGAATGAGACATGCAAAAATGTAGACATTGGGATTATCAAGCATAGAATGTAAAATTACATGTAAATTTTTTCCCTCAATACAGGGGATTGAACTCAGAGGTACTTTATCACTGGGTTTATCCCCAAACCTTTTTTTATTTTTTTACTTTGAGATAGAATCTTTCATTCTTTACCAAGTCCGGCCTCAAACTTGCCATCCTTCTACCTCAGACTCCCCAGTAGCTAGAATTACAGGCATGCAATCAATACCACATCCAGCTATCTGTAAAGTTTTTAAATATCAAAAAAACGATCAAGCAGATTTTTCAAAGGACCAACTAACTGAGACACACACACATTTATTTTGAAGTAAACCTCAATGTGTTTAGCACCATTACAGAATAAATGTTTGGGGAGATAGATTTGAAGAAAATATACAAGTATAGCCAAAAAAGTATGAAAAGAAAATGTGAAAAGGTTTAAGAGATGCAGAGGTTGAAAGGAAATCTAGTCAGAACATCAGAAAAAGCCTAGAATGAAAGATGCTATTTGCAGGGAAAGAATTATGGTGATTTTACAAAATTGACAAGATTATAGCTTTCAGATTTAGGAAGCTCAATAGATCAGATCCCGAGGAGAAAAAAAAAATTTTTTTTTTTGCACTGGGAATTAAACCAAGAGGCATTTTATTACTGAGCTGCATCTTATCCCTTTTTATTGTATTTTGATACAGGGTCCTGCTAAGTTTCCTATGCTGGTCTTGGACTTGCTATCCTCCTGCCTTAGCCTCCCCAATGGCTGGTATTAGAGATGAGCTCTACCGCACCCAACTAAAAAAAAAAATTGTATGCCTAGCTTGTGCAAGGCCCTGGGTTTGATTCCTAGCATCACACACATAAAAAGTAACTATCAACTTAGAACTGTATACTTTTATAAATTAAGAGAAAGGTAAAATAGAGGTCTCTTTATATAGATTTAATGAAAAACTTTGTGAATAACAGACATATGCTAAAGGAAATACTAACAAGTGTCTTTTAGGCAGAAGGAAGCAGTCCCATGTGGGGATAAGAAGGAATAAAGAGGGGCTGGGGTTGTGGCTCAGCAGTAGAGCTCTCGCCTAGCACATGCAAGGCCCTGGGTTCGATCTGCAGCACCATATAAAAATAAATAAATAAAGATATTGTGTTCAACTAAAAAATAAATATTTTTTTAAAAAAGAAGGAACAAAGAACAAAATAGTATTGACTATATAAAGAAAAAAATCATGGGTAGAAAAAAGGGAATAAAAATTGATAATAGCTTGAATATAAGTTGGTAGGTAATATTTTAGGGTCCTTTTAAAGATAAATATAATAACTAACTTTAGTCTTTTATGAGTTAATTATTCATGTTAAAATTTCAAGCAGAACCATGAAAAGACCAGAGTACCTAACTTCTAAACTAGTTGAAGAATGAAAGAAATGGAATGAGAAAATTATCAATCTAGCCAAGTGCAGTGGTGCATGCCTCTAATCCCAGAAACTCAGAAGACTGAGGCAGGAGGATTGCAGTTTCAACCTCAACTTCAGCAACTTAGCAAGACCCTGTCCCTAATTTTTTTAAAAAAAGAACTGGGGATATATCTCTGTGGTAAATCACCCCTGAGATTCAATAACCAGTACTGAAAAAAATAAAAGAAAATTATCAACCAAAAAGAAGGCTAAGAAAGGAGATGAAGAAAAAAGAAAAGGTAGGAACACATTGCAAAGATAAAATGAAACGGTAATCCCCAGCACCACCAAAAAAAGAAGAAGAAAAAAAGGGATGGTAGAAGTAAATCTACATATGGCAGTAATTATATTAAGTGTAAATGGATCACATATTACAAATACAAGACTTCAGATGCTCCAAATTAGATAAAGAAACAAAACCATGAACATATTGTTGGTAAAACATAAGGGAGTCAAAAATAAAAGAATGAAAAAATAATATAGGTAAATGCCAAACCCAAAAACACTTGTATATATATGTTATATTAATAATACATAAAATAGACCTTAAAGTAAAAAGCATTATTGATGTAAAGAGGGCCAAGTGCATAATGATGAAAGATTTCATCATCAGGAAGATTATTCCAAACATATGCACTTAATAATACAACCTCAAAATATAAGGAAACAGAAATTGATAGCTATAAGGAGAAAAGCAAGTTCATCATATAGGTAAATATTAATATACCTCTCCAAGTAGTGATAGAACAATTAAATTTTTAAAAATAAATATATTAAAAGGATCCTGTGTTCAAAAGAAAAAGTATATATATAAAAAACACAATAGTAAATGTATTTTGAAGTAAATATAACTGTTGACAGTTAATTGCATTCTAAGTTTACTTAAATGAATTTACATATAATTGAATTATAATTCAATAAGTAGACAGGCTTATTAGAGAAAAAAACAACCAGAAGACAGTAAAGAACAAAGTGAACTTCTACAGTCCTTTTCACTCAGCCATAGTTAACAGCCTGGTGTAATTCATGATCAGAAGACCCTGACTAAAGACATCAGTTTTACCCATATCAGTCAAATCTGATGCAATGCCAGTAATCCCTATTTATTTACTTAGGGAACTTTATATATATAAAAGCCAAAAATAGTCAAGATCCTACTAAAACAAATAATTAATTACCCAAGAGGTCAAAATGGGTGTTAGGGTGGTAAAGTACTAATCATAATCTACAATTACTGTAAAACTAAAGAAGGCATAATGATTTTGGCAAAGAAAGGGAGAAATAGACCATTATAATAGAATGAAGAGCCTTCCAGG